AGGAAAAAAATTATCATCTGTGGACTTGAAAACAGTCCTATTTACCTGATGGGAGCATGCCTGTAATCCCAGCACTCTGGAGGCAGAGGTAGGTGGATATCTGTGAATTCAAGGCCAGCCTGCTCTACAAATCAAGTTTCAGGACAGCCAGGGCTACACAGAGAAACTCTGTCTGGAAAAAGAAAACAAAACAGTGCTAATCCTATTCTTTTCAAAAACCTAATGAGACAGGTTATATTGTTCCCAGAAAATAGCAGTGTCACACAGGTCCATGATAATGTACATTTCCAATGCCTCTAGTCTTACAGACTTTGTTCCATTTTAAGGTGTCTTAGTTTATACTTACAGGACCTCTTCCATATCCTAAGCTAAAATATGTGCCTAAAGTTCCTACCCATCTGTTCTAGGGCCTTACTTTGGCCCTGAACAACTCAAATTCCTTCGTCTAATTTTTGAGACACAGTCTTAGCCTACAACTTGCTATGTACACCAGGCTGGTCTCAAACCTGTGGTGATCTTCCAACCTCTGCCTCCATATTGTTAGGACTACAGGCTCACTGAACCACACTGCAGTTAACAAATCTAATTGCTTTTCCATCGTTCTTAAGTCCAGCCTTCCTGAGGAGCCAGGGGTTCAAACCCTCTCCTTGCTTAGGTTGTTTTCCCCATATCCCTCAGAGGAAAACGTGTTACTTAGGAATGGTGTAACAGGGTTGAGAGCAGCTCTTTCCCTATCCCTGAGGCTGTATTTCCACTAATCCAACCTAAATAATTCCTGTCCCAGAGCTGCACTTGGAGAGAAAAGCCATTCTGACTCCTCAGCACCTTCCCTGCCTTGTACTGGGTTTTCATGTTTATGTTCCTTTTGTGGTTCTGTCTCAACACGCCCACACGCCTCTCTCTGCGTGACCTTGACCCTCATCCTTTGCAGTGTGCACACATGCGACACTCATTTTCTCTCACCTTCCATCACCTCCTCTCTTCCCACTTTCACTTCCTCACCTCTACCTGGTCGAGATAAGAGTCTCCAAGCGGCTTGTTTCTTTTTAACAGGTAGTAGGCATGTTCCAAAGCACCACGGTCCCGCTGTTGGAAAGTGTCTGTCCTGGTTAGCACTCCTAATGCATATGCTGACAGTCCAGGGCTAGTTTCCAAGACAGTAATCTGATTTGGGAATGCTTTCTCTAAGCAGGTCTCAAATTTCACTTTCTTGAAGTTCCATAGGAAAAACGCCTAGCCTAACCTAGGAGCTGTTTGTATGTATAGATCACATCCGCCGTGGAAAAGTGGAGAATTAAGAGTCGCTGTTCTTTCCATGGACAGTTAAATGAGGATCAGCTTGGGTGACAGGAAGCAGCTGGAAACAGCCTGTATTCAAATCCCTGGTCTGTTGTTCTCAGGCTGGGTGTTCCTCGTAACTGCTCCATCTGCAGAATGGTGGCAGCAACAGTGGCCACCTCTTGGACCTACTGTGAAGTGTTAAATCACTTAAAGTATTTAGAACAAGATCTAGCTCTCATGCAGTTAACAAAAAAACAGGCATTATTCCCTCACGTTGTAAAAGGATTTAAAGGTACAACAGAAACAAGATTCCTTCTCACAGGCACTTGGGTTTTCTGCTTGAATTTCTGCAAGCCTTGAATCCTTAAGCGTTGGTATGGAGGTTTTGGCTTTTTAAGGAAGCAGACATTCAACAGAGGCTCAAGAGTCATTTGTGAATGAATGCCCCTCAATCTGGGTCTAGCAAGGAAAAGGGTACAATTGTTATTTAAGAGGAAAAGTAAAGGCTAGAGGACCTGGAATCTACCAGGGCTGAGCTCCAGAGTTGAAGCTTCCTTTCCTGCCTATTGGAAAACAATAAACCAGAGACAACAACAAACAAAAAACCATTTCAGAAAAACATGCCAACATGGAGCCTAGCTGGACTTAACAAAAATGGGCTAAATGGTTAAAGTCTTCAGATTAAAAACAAAACAAAACAAAACAAAAACACCAAAAAACATGACCTCTCCTTTTCCCTTCAAAACTTCTTTTTATTTCTTAACCATACAGCTGTTTAACACAGAATTCTAGAAAATGTCAAGGGTCCCACAGACATCTATACGTTGTCATAGGGCATGGTTCGAGGGTAGACTACATTAACATAGAAGAAATTAGTTTAAAGTTGTGTCAAATCACCTGAAAACACATTAAGTAAATGGAAGACTCAGAACAAAGAAAGTGATTAAGCTGGTTTAACCGCATTCAAGCTCACTATGCTTAATCCCCTTCAGGGGTTCACGTTAAACAACAAATTTGGTCTCTTGGCCTAAATCTTTTTTCTCAAAAGAACATTTTCTTGCAAGTCTAATGTTTGTTTCTGTCTTATTTTTCAGACCCCGGGAAAGAAAAGAATTTACCTGATTGGGTTGCATTTTAGGACAAAGTCGACTAGAAAACGGAACCAGAGGGCGATGGTTTATACAATTCTCGTAGCTACTGAGGCATGGGTGTGTGTGATTGTTCAGCCCCAGAAAAGGGCCAGTTAGTGACACTCGGGATGAGGACTTCATCTGACAGCGAATTAAATACGGCTGCGAGAGAAAGAAAAGGTGTAATTAAGCCAGTGCTGTTCGTGCCTGCTTACGGGGCCTGGCAGCAATTTGGTTGAACACCCTTCATCTTGAGAAATTTATAATTTGGCAGTAAGTTGGCAGAAACCCAGTTTAATATTGCAAAATCTGGGAAATGTCGAAATGTGGCTTGCTCATTGAACTTTTCCAGAATCTCTCGAATTATTTTTCTCCCTCTCGGATTCAGAAAGCAGCGTGCTTCTTTAGAGAAGACCACGAGGCTTTTTTTTTTTTTTTTTTTTTTAAAGCACAAAGTCAAGTAAACGCAGTCATGCGGGCTGCAATCAACTTTCCTGATTGCAACCTTTGTGTACACACAAGGGGAGAAAATGGGTTTCAACTGCAAAACCCGAGTTCCCGCAGTTGGTAGCCCTTTAAAAACCCCCCCACAACTTTGGTTTCCGGAGAGAGAGCCGCGCAACGCTTCGCCCCAGCCTATTCCCCGCAGTTTTAAAGTACAAGAGAGGTCGCCAGGTTAAGTGACGTGTGGCCAACTCTGGCTGCCCGGGGCCCAGGTTGCTCCAACCGGCTTCTGGAAAGTAGCCGCAAGTTTTCCGACAGGAAACCGGCCAGTTTTAGAACGTCCCGGGTCCGGTTCCCACGGAAGCGGCGCCCCCCGACGCCGACGCCACCGTCGAAGCCGCGGTGAGCGGCAGGGGGCAGCAGAGGGAACCCGTTGTTCTGGAGGCGGGGTGGGGCGGGAAGCGCCCCCCACCTCGGCTTCCGCGCCCTCCCCTCAGCCGCCCGCGCGCCCCTCCCCTCGGCCGGGAGGAGGGCGGGGACGCCGAGCCCTCCCCCGGGAGGGGGGACGTGGGCCTCGCGCGCGCCCCTCCCCCCGCGGCTCTCCTGGCGCCCCGAGGCGGGAGTTTCCAGGAAGAGCTCGGAGCGCGGCCGCACCACCGGGCGCACGGACACGTTAAGTAGTCCCTCCGCGCGGCCTCCTCGGGAGGGCTCCTCCTAACCGCCGGGGCCGGCCCGGGCCACAGCCCGGAAGGGGTAGGGAGCGGAGGCCGGGCCGCAGGCCCCTGAGGGCCAGCAGGGCTGGGAGCCCACTTTCCGTTCCTGGGGGACGTGAGGGGGTGGCACAACGAGTTCCGGCCGAGGGCTCGGGCGCGCCCGCTGGAGTGAAGCGCCGCGCGGTCGAAGCGCTCACAGAGTTAAAGTGGGCGGGAAAACCCGGAGCGGACTCGCGGCTGCACGCCCGGGGCCTCCCGCCCCGCTCGCCGTGGGGGAGGGGAAGGGAGGGGACGAGCCCCTCTCCTGGGCGCCCTAACCCCCAACTGAAGAAACAGGTGTCCGCCCGCCCCCTCTAGGGGCCCCCCGCAGGCCTCGGGGGGCCGCGTGTCGCGGGAGGGCGGGGCGGCTCCTCCCCTTCCAGCGTGCGCACCGTCGGTGCTGGCCGCGCCGCGGCCGCGAGCCTGCCGGGCCGGCGGGCAGGAGGAGCGGGGCGCGCATGCGTGCGGTGGGAGCGCGCTTCCCGCCCCTTTCCTGAGCGAGTTCGCTCCTCCCCTCCCCCCACGTTCCTCAGCCGCCACCTCAAAGCCTCCCCCGCAGCCCGCGCGCTGTCCTCGGGGGAGGTGGCCGGTCTTGCCCGTCCACTGCTTAACCCCTTCACCCCAGTTTCGCCCCGCCTCTGCCGAGCTCCGGTACAAACTCCGCAGCCGAGGGCTCGGCTTTCACATTCCCGCCTCCGCCCTCCGTCTCCCTCCCAACCCTAAAGCACTTCCTGCAAACTGCCGGCTGCGCGGCGGCTTTCCGTTGCGGGTGCGGCACCTCCCTGTACCCCGGCTCCCTCTGCCTAGCCTGCTCCATTTTACAGACGGGGAACTCAGGGTCGACCCCTTAGGCTCACTGGAGTTTTCCCAAAAATGAAGCATGAGAACTGCCACCCCGGAAGGCTAAATCTCGACTTTCCACAATTTAAGCTATTTCATCACTAGCCCTTACCCGGGACCCTGCGATCCCTCTGTTCTCAACAGCCCAGTTAGCAGTTGCCACTGAAGCGGTTGACCCCAAGTCATGTGAGAAAGGCAGGGAGGAGAGTCACTTGCTAAAGAGTTTTTGTTTGCTTGCTTGCTTTTTGTGACTAGTCTTAGCCCAGGCTGGCCTCCAACTCCAGCTCAGGATGACCTTGAGTTTCTGATCACGCCTCCTTGTCCCCAGTGCTGGGAATCCGAATCCAAGGCCTCGTGCTTGCTACCAACTGCTTGCTACAGGCCCACTGTTCAGTCAGCTTTAAACACACACACACACACACACACACACACATTCATTCTTAGGCTTTGTAGATTTCTTCGATTTTGTAATTGTTATTCTCTCCTCCGCTGGAGACCAGAGGCCATTCTTTGAGATTTGAAAAGCCCTTCAATTTGAAAAGACTCCAGATGTGGCTCAGGCTGACCTTGAACTCATGATCCTACTGCCTCAGTCCCACATCTGGCTCGTTTTATCTTCAGAGGTAACTTTTCTTTCCTGTTAGTACTGTTGCTCTTATGTTCTGGAACACTCCCATGTCCCTGGGTGTCAGTTCTTCCTTGCTCTTCAGGGTCTAATTATAGTTAGGTCAAGTCCGAGAGAGGCTTGCAAGAGAACTGATGGATGCCAAGAGAATCTTGAAAACATTAGCGCTGTAAACCTGTGACACAAACTTAAAAACTATAACCAGGAATTTACCTATTTTAAATGCCCCCTCCCCACCTCTGTGTGTGTGTGTGTGTGTGTGTGTGTGTGTGTGTGTGTGTGAGAGAGAGTCAGAGGACAACTTGTGGGAATCTCTACCATGTGGGTTCTTGGGATTTAACTCTGGTCATTAGGCTCTTAGTAGGCAAGTGCTTTTCCCTGCTGAGCCATCTGGCGGCCCCATAACTAGAAATTTAAGGGAACATATTTAGGGAATCATTATTTCAGATTTAACTGTTTTAAGAAGCTCATTACTAACATTGTAAATATGGAGATGTTTTTGATCACTTTTGTCTTATTTACTTATTTTTGTTTGTTTTCCAGATAGGGTTTCTCTGTGTAGCCCTGGCTATCCTGGAACTTGTACCGTAGACCAGGTTGCCCTTGAACTCAGAGATCCACCTGCCTCAGTTTCCTAAGTGCTGAGATAAAGAGATAAAAGGGTCTCCCACTGAACCTAAAGTTTGCCAATTCAGCTAGACTGGCTGGTTGGGAAAGCACCCGGAATCTTCCTGTCTCTGCCTTCTTGTTGGGATGACAAAAACTAAGCCAAATACATACCATGCTCCTACTGTAACTCCCTGAGCCCAGCTAAGAAAATATACATACTTTTTGACCTACTCAGAAAGCTTTATGTAAGGTTTTTTTGTTTTTGTTTTTGTTTTCTGGAGAGAGACAGGGTTTCTCTGTATAACAGCCCTAGCTGTCCTGGAAATCACTGTGTAGACCAGGCTAGCCTCCCACATCCCTGGGATCTCATGTGATTTTACAGGGTCCTGAAGGCCCACGGGGCTCCTGCTTGGGCATCAGAGTCCTTTGCAGCTTGAGTGCTGCTGTTGTATCCTACTCAGCAAACCAGTGCTCTCAGGGGCTGTGCTGAAGATGGTAATGCAAGGTTTCCAGCTCAAACCTATTTCATTTCCAACATTTAAATTCAGAAGTTAAATTGGAAGACTGACAAGAACATTGTCTTTCTTAAGTAAAATGAAAAAATTATATATGAAAATATATTCTTTCTTATCGAATGTAGGGATAATTTCCAGAACTCTTGTGTGTTATTATTACATCAGTACTCAACCTACAACAGTGTCCCAGAGACATTAAAGTCAAATTGCTGTGGTTTATGCAACCCCCCCAGCTGGGGGGGCAGTGGGGGAGCAGTGTGGTTCTTGAGGGAATCACATTATAAAAGTGAACAGGCTCCTGCCTGCAGTTGCAGCACTCTGGAGACGGAAGGAAGCAGGGATACTGTCATGATTCAAGCCCAGCCTGTGCTAGTGTGTCCTCACACTTCCCTTGGGGCTGCAAGCTCACAAACAGCATCACGGAGACTCATTAGTTATGAAAGCTTGGCCTATAGCTTAGGCTTGTTCCTAACTGGATCTTATAACTTAATTTGTTGTTGTTGTTGTTTTGAGACAGGGTTTCTCTGTGGTTTTGGAGTCTGTCCTGGAACTAGCTCTTGTAGACTAGGCTGGTCTTGAACTCTCAGACATCTGCCTGCCTCTGCTTCCCAATTGCTGGGACTAAAGGCATGTGCCATCAACGACTGGCTTTAGTTACTCAGTGCTTCATTAAACCAATCACAGCAACATATCTTCACACAATGTACAAATATCCCACAAGAGTGAAAATCCAAAAGAAAAGGTGGGCAAGGGGGGAGCAGAGAGAGCTCAGCAGGTGATGATGCTTTGTGCAGAATCTGAAGACTGGAGTTGGATGCCTGAAAGCCGCATGCATGGTGGAAGGAGAGGGCCAACTCCTCCAAGTTGTCCTTCCCCATCCACATGTATGTTACAGCACACATACACACTCACGCTGTACACACACACACACACACACACACACACACACACAAATACGGGTAAATAAATGTAGAAAAGTAAGGCTGGAAAGATAGCTCAGTTGATGTAGCTTGTCACCCAAGCATGAGGAACTGAGTTCAAGCCCACACTGAAAAACAAAAACAGGCATGGGGCAAACACTTGTAATCTCAGAGCTAGCTAGCAGGGAGAAACTGGCAGCCCAATATCAAGCACCAGGTCACAGAGAACCACATCACAGCCAGGAGCTCTGTCTCAAAAACAAGATGGCTGGCTCCTGAGGAACTCTGCCTTCCACAGGAGTGCACACACATATGAAAATACACGTGGCCCTCAACGGGCATTGGTGGTGCACACCTTTAGTCCCAGCACTTGGGAGGCAGAGGCAGGTGGCTCTCTGAGTTCAAGGCCAGCCTGGTCTATGGAGAGAGTTCCAGGACAGATTCCAAAGCAATACAGAGGAACCCTGTCTCAAAAAAAAAAAAAAAAAAAAAAAAAGAAAGAAAGAAAGAAAGAAAGAAAAGAAGATACACATAGCCATTCATATAAAAAGAGTCTAAGTAACACAAAATGACAAGCTGTCAGCTGTCTCATATCAGAGTCCAGGCTCTGTCATTAGCTTCTATCTTAGAACAGGTCATTATTGTGGGGTTTGTGTCCAAGCTGGATTCATTCACTTATCTGTTCACTTAGGTGCTAGGGATTGAACTGAAAGCTCCATGTGTGCTATGTGCTAGGCAAGTGCTCCCTCCCTGAGACAAAATATTACTGCGTAACCTGAGCTGATCTCAAGCTTTATCTTACCTTTCATTCTAAGGCGGCTGACTGTAGGATACAGGCATACACAGCAACATCCAGCTAACTAGAAATCTGGATTCCTCTCCTCTCTCTTTCAACAGGGTCTCATTCTGTAGTTCAGAATGTTCTGGAACTCACTACATACCTGACTGGTCTTGGATTTATGGTGAACCTCCTGGCTCACCCAAGTCTTGGGATCACAGGTATGCACTCTCACTTCCAGATAAACTGGGCGTGGTCATTGTTTTTTATTTGAGACAAGGTCTCAGATAACCTAAATGGTATCCTTAGTCCTTTAAACCAGAACTTTCTTTTTGGTGTGTATATTCTGTGCTAGAATATGTGCGAGTGTGTGTGCATTTTCACACACTAGGCTAGAAGTTGATATTGGGTCTTTCTTCATTGCTTTCTGCCTATCTTTCTGTTGTTGGTGATGGTGGTTTGTTTGTTTTGGTTTGGTTTTTTCCAGATAGGGTTTCCATGTGTAACAGCCCTAGCTGTCCTGGAACTAGCTCTGTAGACCAGGCTGGACTCAAACTCACAAACTCACAGAAATCCTCCTGCCCATGCCTCCCTAGTGCTGGTATCAAAGGCAGGCGTGCACCCTTTGTTTCTTGGGTTGTTTTTTGTTTTGTTATGTTTTTGAAATAGGGTCTCACTATGTAGTGCTGACTATCCTGGAACTCACTCTGTAGATTAAACTGGCATGGAACTCACAGAGATCTACCTGCGTCTGTTGGGATTAAAGGTGTGCATTAGTGCATTACCAAGCTTGGCTACACTAGAATTCTTTTTTTTTTTTTTTTTTTTTTTTTTTTTTTGAGACAGGGTTTCTCTGTATTGCTTTGGAGCCTACCCTGGAACTAGCTCTCATAGACCAGGCTGACCTCGAACTCACAGAGATCTACCTGCCTCTGCCTCCCAAGTGCTGGGACTAAAGGTGTGCACCACCACCACCCGGCTAAACTAGAATTCTTAACATTTCCATTTCCCTAGTCATTTCATAAGGCACAACTTGCTAGATGCTTAGTTAAGGGAAGTTCTAAAAGACATTCTGGTTACTATCTATCACACTATTCTTTATTATTATTATTTTATTATTATTATTATTATAGGTTGTTTATTTAGTGTATTTGACACCGAATGTATGTGAAAGTCATACTCTTCTCTGCACTTAAAGTCCTGGGGATCAAACTCAGGTTTGGCAGCAAACATCTTTACCTTCTGAACCAGCTCACTGGACCATTAGTACAATTTTTAAATGATTTTTAGTAAAATGTACATTGGTGTTTGGTCTGCATGTATGTCTTGTGGAGGGCATTGGAGCCTCCGAAACTGGAGTTACAGACAGTTGTGACATGCTATGTGGGTGTTATGAATTGAACCCAGGTCTTCTGGAAGAGTAGCCAGTGTTCTTAACCACTGAACCACCTCTCCAACCACCCATTAAACAAATTATTCATTTTATTTTATGTGTGTTTTACCTGTGGTATGCCTGTGCATCTCCTGGGTGCTTGGTACAGGGGGAGGTCAGAAGAGGACATGGGATCCCCTGGACCTGGAGTTACAGATGGTTGTGACTACATATGGGTGTTGGGAACTGAACCTCAGTTCAATGTAACAGCATCTCTCCAACCCCATTTACTCTATTTTTATGGGATCTCAAATAAGTCCTTTGTCTCATTTTCTCTTCTGATTCTTTTCTGTCAGTCTTGATGGGTCTACAAACTAGCTCAAGGCCAATGACAGAATCAGAACCGGAGGAATATAGACTGTAGGATCTTTTTGTTTTGTTTTTCAAGACAGGGTTTCTCTGTGTAGCCCTGGCCGTCTTAGAAATTACTTTGGTCTTGACTCAAGTATCTTTTTATAAAATTTATTTTATGAGTATTGGTGTGAAGGTGTCAGATCCTCTGGAACTGAAGTTATAAACAGTTGTGAGCTACCATGTTGGTACTGGGAACTAAACCTGGGTCCTCTGGAAGAACAGCCATCAACCTAAGTATCTTAAAGCCATTCCTCCTTTTTCTCAGACCTGTGTCTTGTTAAATCTTATTTAATTTTTTTCCATTGATAGGGCTTTTTTTTTTTTTTCTTCTTTTTAATACTGAGAATTGAAATCTGGAGCTTGAACAATAATGTGATCCCAAAGTGGGCTCTTAGAGAAACAAGGGCATTCTTTTTGTTTTGTTTTGTTTTAGTTTTTTTTTTTTTTTTTTTTTTTCCAGACTGAGTTTCTCTGTGTAGCCCTGGCTATCCTGAAACTCTCTTTATAGGCCAGGCTGACCTCAAACTCACAAAGATCCCATCTGCCTCTGCCTCCCGAGTGCTGCTATAAAAGGTGGTGCCACAACCATCCAGCAAAACAGGGGCATTTTGGGTGTTCAGGAAAAATAGTGAAAATCATTCAGTCCATCAGTGTGGAAGGAGGGAAAACATATATTTTTGTCATCACTGATTTGTACTTAGTATTTAGTATTTAGCATCATCTAGGTGTGAGTTTGAGGCCAGCCTGGTCTACTGAGCAAGTTCCAAGAAACCCTGTCTCAAAAACAAAACAGCAACTACAAAGAAATTTCATATCACTGACAGACTCATTACTAGATCCTAGCTGTTGTTGATTTTTAGTATTTTATGTGTATGAACCTTTTGTCTACTTGTGTGTCTGTGTACCACATGTGTGCCTAAAGAGATTTATTTAATGCATATGAGTGTTTTGCCTACAAGTATGTTTGTACCAGGTACTGAAGGAGGCTAGAAGACAGCATTGGATCCCCAGTTACAGATGGTTGTGAACTGCCCTGGATTCTAGAAGAGTAACAATTGCTTTCAGCAACTGAGCCATGTTTCCATCCTCACTGCCATTTTAATATGAAATAAGGATATTTGCTGTGTGCGGTGCCTGTATTCCTACCCTTGGGAAGCCAATGGAAGAGGAAGATGAGCAGGTCAAAGTCAGTCTCAGCTGCATAGTGAATTCACTTGCAGGAGCTCCTTCTACCATGTGGGGCCTGGACTTCGAACTGGGGTTGCCCGGCTGGCAGTAAGCACCTTTACCATCTTGCTGGCTCATAAATTTGTAATTCTTTGTTTTTGTTTGTTTTTAGAGCAGCATTTCTCTAAGTAACAGTCCTAGCTGTCCTGGAACTCACTCTGTAGACCAGGCTAGCCTTGAACTCAGAAATCTGCCTGCCTCCTGGGAGCTGGGATTAAAGTTGTGTGCCACCCCTGCCTGACTTGATAACTGTTTAAGTTAGTACAGCAGAGGTTGAGAATCCATGCTTTAATCAAAATAATAATAATGTGAGCCAGGTGGTGATAGCACACATCTTTAGTTCCAGCACTTGGGAGGCAGAGGCAGGCAAATCCAGGACAGCCTCCAAAGCTACAGAGAAACCCTGTCTTGAAAACAAAACAAAACAAACCCCATGATAATAGTAATTTGTTATAAATTATGAAATAAAATGAGTCTGTTAAGCCATAATTATATATATACACCTATATAAAGGCAGGAGAAGGGAAAGTCTTTCTGACAATAGGTTATAAATCTGTGTGGAGCAGTGATTCTCAGCCTGTGGGTCTCAACCCTTTTGGGAGGTCAAACCCTTTCACAGAGGTCACCTAAGATCATCAGAAAACACAGATATGTACATTAGGATTCATAACAGTTGCAAAATTATGCTAACGAAGTAGCAACAAAAATAATCTTATGGTAGGGGGAGGGGTGACGGCACACCATGTCCCAGCTTTAGGAAGGCTGAGAACCACTGATGTATAAGGATGTGGGAACTCAGTCAGGGATGCTGAAAGCACCGGATGATGGATTGATGAGTTGGATATTTGCAAGGTAGTGTGTTTCTTCATAGGTTACTAAGTAGTTATATGGGGAAAATAGGGAAGGAACTCACTAATTACCTGCCTGACCAAGTCATCAAACCTAATATCCCTCATGAGACAAACTGACTGTATATGCCCACTATAGGAAGCAATGAGGGCAACTTTTATTTGTTTGTTTGTTTTTCTCCCTAGCTGTCCTGGAACTAGCTCTGTAGACAACGCTGAGCTTGAACTCAGAGATCTCTGAGTTTGAGGTCAGCCTGGCCTATAGAGTGAGTTCCAGAACAGCCAGGGCTACACAGAGAGACTGTGTCTCAAACAAAAACAAACAAACAAACAAAAAAGAAGCAATGAAAGATGGTGGAGGTGGTGCATGCATCTGGGGTGTCTGGGCTGCAGGGCTGTCCCTCCCTCCCATGGATGAGTGGTCCATGTCGAGAGGCATCCACGGAAAGTAGGGTTCAGCTCAATTGTGGCAGGCCCTCACCTATTTTGTGGCACTGCTCAGGGTGGGAGTGAACATGCTCAATGTTTTCCTGAAGTCACCACACAAGAGCACGAGAGACCCAAGTTCATCGCCTATCAGGACCAAATCCTTCCCCTGGGAAAGATGGTAACCACACCCTCTTCTACAACCCTCATGTGAACCCACTTCTGACTGGCTATGAAGGTGAGTAAAGAGAACCTGGACCTTCCCCCCAAGCAACAGGGGACCACAGCACTGGTTTGGATCTGTGTGGGGACCACAACCATGCATGGGGCACTAGAGCTCATCTTTCCTTGTATCAAATGGTGACCATTACACTAATCTCCCAGCATCCCTCTGCTTGTAATAGGAGGTGGCTTGAATAAATAAACTTAAAATAAAAAAGAAGAAGAAGCAAGGAGAGGGCTGAGAGATTTCTTACCAGTTAAGAGAATTTGCTGACCACCTGGTGTTATAGTGTTTTGTTTGTTTGTTTGTTTGTTTGAGACAGGGTTTCTCTGTATTGCTTTGGAGCCTGTTCTAGAACTAGCCCTATAGATCAGGCTTGCATCGAACTCACAGAGATCCGCCTGCCTCTGCCTCCCAAGTGCTGCCTCTAAAGGCAACTCTTTTAATCTCAGCACTTAGGGAGGCAAAGGTAGGTGGATCTCTGAGTTCAAGGACAGCCTGGTCTATGTAATAAGTTCTAGGACAGCTCAAACAAAACAACAAAAGCAAATGCTTGCTACCAATGGACCCACATTTTGGTTCCCAACCCCCAGGTCACACAGCTTACATTAGCTGTCACTCCAGGTCCAGGCATCTGAAGACTGACATTCTTTGGCAGCAGCATATGCACCCATCTACATACATATAATTGAAAGTAAAAAAAAAAAAAAAAAAAAAACTATGAGGACATGACATTGCTGCTGTGTTAATTCTATCAGAAATGCACACACTGAATTTAGTCACAAGGAAATGTCAAATAAACCCAAACCGAGAGCCACTTTATTAAATAACTGATCTGTACTGTTGAAGCATTGGAAGGGCAGAAAACAGAACAAAAAAGCCTGGGGACCAGTCAAGATTTAAGGACACAAAAACTGGAGAGGTGGGGAGGTTGGGAAGGAAGGAGGGAGGTGGAACTGGAATACAATTAATTAACTAATTAATTAATAAAGAATCCCAAAAACTAAAGTTGATGTGTGATCTTGTATTTGATTCTGGACCAGGAAAAATATGTTTGGACACCTGACAAAACTGAAGGGGGCCATACTTTAAATCACCTGTACGGCTTTGTTAGAGGTCTTCGTCGTTGTATAATGCTATGGTTATTTGAAAGAATGGTGTTTGATGTTTTGGTAGAAAAAGAAGCAAAAGAATATGATGTATCTGTAGTCAAACAATTCAGAAAAATGTGCAAATATTTGTAGCTATGTTTGTAAAGAGAGAGAGAAAAAACAGAAAAATGGAAATTATTTATGATTTGAATTTTTTCTTTCCTTTTTAGATCGTCTCATATGGCCTAGCCTGGCCTGGAATTACTCAGTAGCTGAGGCTGCCCTTGAACTCTCTGATACTTCTCCCTCCACCTCCCTCCATGCAAAACTGGAGATTTTTGAGAGCTGAAGGTTTGTTTGTTCAAGATCTCCCAGCAGTTATCCGACAAGTTCCGGCCAAACCCCGGATCTCAGCTGTCAGTCACTACACCAACTGAATCCTTCAGCCTTGGCACTTGGATGGCAAAGGTTGAGCTACCCAGTTAGTTCTCTTTTTCAGTTTTTTAGTTCCCTAGGGCTAGTTCCTTCTACCAGAAACCCAGAGTGCTGTAACTAAACGTTTCTTTCAGTTCCCTCACGAGCACAGAGGCAAGGATGGGTTTGAAGTCTCTGATCTATGCAGCTGAATAACCCCTTTCCTTTGGTAGGTTGGTTCATCACTACCAGCCTTCTCGTGCGCATGATGGAGGCTCCTCCCTGGTATTGTCTGTTCTCCTTCACAGACTGGTATTTAAACTGTTGTTTGAATCCATTACCCTAACAGGGTCTAACAAGGTCTCTCTACATAGCTCTGCCTGTCATGGAACTCACTATGTAGACCAGGTTGGCCTCAAACTAACAGAGATCCACCTGTTTCTGCCTGTGCTGCGATTAACGGAGTGTGACACCACCACTCAGCTACTCTGTTTCTTTTTGTTGTTGTTTGGATATCTGACAAACTCATTAAACTGGGTTAAGGCAAGGTGAGCACCATCACCATGCTGCCTTTGTTTATTATTCTTACTACATTCTGTTCATTTATTTAGTGTGTGTTTGTATGGGAATATTTTCTCCATGGCACAAGTGTGGAGGTCAGAGGACATGCATCAGCTCTGTCTTTCACCATGTGGGTTTTGGAGATCAAACCCAGCCCCGCTTCTTCAGGCTTGATGGCAATCACTTTTACCCTATGAGCCATCTTGCCAGCTCTGATTTTTGAGACAGGGACTCACTCTATAGCTCAAGCTGGATTTGAACTCTTTACCTTCCTGGCTTCAGCCCCACCCCACAAGTGCTATGGATTGTGGGTATGAGACACCACACAGGCTTTATAACTTAACTTCATGCCTTCAATATCATCTACCCTGACAATAACCCTAAATACAATTGTATGGCTTCATATCTGTGACCCAATGATTTATTTTCTTCAGTTGGTGGAAAATTACAGCAATGTATATTAAACCAAAAAAGAGGCCAAGTGGTGGTGGTGGTGCACACATTTGATCCCAGCACTTGGGAGGCAGAGGCAGTGGATCTCTGTGAGTTCGAGGCCAGCCTGGTTTACAGAGGGAGTGTCAAGATAGGCTCCAAAACTACACAGAGAAACACTGTCCCAAAAAACAAAACAAAACAAAAAAAGAGAATGAAGCAGGCTGTAGCCATCCAGGTGACTGTAAGATCAGTGCTGGGGGAGGGGAGACAAGACTCCCTGGCTCTCTGGCTAACCAACCTATCTGAAGAACAGTTGAATGAAATAACCTGTTTCAAAGGAATAAGGCAGAGAGATCAATAAAAGAAGATACCCAATGTCCTCCCTCTTCTTGCCTCTGCATGTGGGCAACACACACATACTCCAAACAAGAAAGAAAGGAAGGAAGAAAGAAAGAAGGGAGGGAGGAAGGCAGGCAGGGAGGGAGGAAGGAAGGCAGGGAGGGAGAGAAAGAGAGAGAAGAAAGTCTGGTGCCAGGCAGTGGTGGTGCACAGCTTTAATCCTAGCACTCTGGAGGCAGAGGCAGGTGGATCTCTGTGAGTTTGAGAGTTTGAGGCTAGCTTGATCTACAGAACAAGTTCCAGATCATCCAGGATTATTTCACAGAGAAATTCTGTCTCAAAAAACCAAAAGAAAAGAAAAGTGTCTGGTGAGATAGCTTAGTAGATAAAGCCACTTGCTACTAAGCCTGAGGACTGATGACCTGAGTTTGATCCTTAGAAGTCATATAGTGGAAGGTGAGAACCAACTCTTGAAAGTTGTCCTCTGATATCCACAGTGGCAGGAACACACACACACACACACACACACACACACACACACACACTTTATTTAAATAAGAAAAAAAGGAATAAAGCATATCAGAATTTAGCCGAGTGTGGTGGCACCCAAAGACCTATAGAATATGGTATTTAAGGTGTTTGATAACCTAAGGCTTTTCATGACAGTGAGATACCTCATCTCCCTACAGCACATATCTACTTCAAAAAAAGAATGATGGGCATTAAAGAACCTCCATATGGATTTGATTTTTTTATGGCAAAAGGTAGCCATTTGGACAAAGAAGCTGCCCTTGGCCTCAGTTGCTAACAGTATACTTTTCAAACTGGACCAGCAAGATGCAAAAGATAGTGACTGCCAAACTTTGCCTAGACTGGGTGGAAAGTCCTTCAAAACTTCCTGCTCCTCAGAAAAGTCTGTCAGATATCCTAGGCCTGTAGGTCAAAGAGACATGCCCCAATGTTACAGAGGAACTTTGGGTGACTGTCCTGGTCACCAGATATCCCTGTTGTTAAATAACATTACACCTAGGTGTCTCTGATGGTGTTAAAGACTAAATAATTAGACTTAAAGTTTTCCTTAGTTATGATTAAAAAATTAATTAGGTATAAAACTTTATACTCACAAAGATAAGTAATGGAGTATTTTCTCCAAATATATCAAATACAAATGGACTGGACATTGTAAATATAATTCTTACCTGCTAATTGTTCTTATAGTTTTATTATGTTATAGTTAAAACCTTTTTTTTTATTTAGATAAAAAGGGGGAAATGTAGAATATTCCTTTACACTGTGTTATATGTCTCTGTGATTGGTTTAATAAAAAAGTTAGGGCCAGGCAGTGGTGGTGCATACCTTTTATTCCAGCACTGGGAAGGCAGAGGCAGGCAAATCTCTGTGAGTTTGAAGCTAGCCTGAAGGAGTTTCAGGTCAAGCTCCAAAGCTGTCTTGAAAAACCAAAAAACCAAACCAAAGCAAAACAGTGGACTCTACAAAATGGCTCCACATGTAAAGATGCTGCCTCCAAAGCTGAGGCCTACATAGTGGAAAGAACTTCCTGTATATTGTCTTCAAAGAACTACCTACGTGCCGTGTGCCATGAGTTAGGAATGCATGCACACCATACCCCATATACATTCATACACGTACAAGGGAAAAAATAAAAAATGTAAACAGAGTCACACCTGGAATTAGAAGGCTGAGGACTGAGGATGGCCAGTATGAGGCCAGCCAGAATTGCACACATAACAGTGTCTTGTCTTGGTGGGAAGTGGGGCCCCAGAAAACCTAATGAACAACAACAAAAACCCAAACCCCAAACAAAGGCAAACAGGCATGAGGATTTGAGGGTTTAGCTCAAGGATGGAACATCTACCTAGCATGTGCCAGCACTGACTTCCTTCCTTCCTTCCTTCCTTCCTTCCTTCCTTCCTTCTTCCTTCCTTCCTTCCTTTTTCAGCACTGAGTTTCGTCTCCAGTAGTAAAAAGAAAATAAAAGGAAAAAAATTACTGACTGACATAAGAAGCCAATGGAGTCAAGGTTTCAGGCTTTGTTTTGGTTCATTTTGTTTTGAGATAGGATCTTGCTGTGTATCCCAAGCTGGCCTCAAGCTTTGTGTTCTGGCTATTTTGTGTCAACTTGACACAAGCAGTAGTCATCGGAGAGTAAACCTCAGTTGAGAAAATGCCTCCATAAGATCAGGCTGCAGGCAAGCATGCAGAGCATTTTCTTAGTGATTGACAGGGGGGACCTAGTCCAGGGCTGGTGGTCCTGGGTTCTATAGGAAAGCAGGCTGAAGCCCAGTGGTGGTGGCACAAAACTTTAATTCCAGCACTCAGGACGCAGAGGCAGAAGGATCTCAGAGTTCGAGGCCAGCCTGGTCTACAGAGCGAGTTCCATGACAGAGCCAGGCTATATAAGGAAACCCTGCCTCAAAAAAAGAAAGAGAGAGAGAGAGAAGGAGAAAAGAAAGCAGGCTGAGTAACCCTGAGGAGAAGCCAGTAAGCAGCACCTCTCCATGGCCTCTCCATCAGCCCCTGACTCCAAGTTCCCACCCTGCTTGAGTTCCTGTCCTAATTCCTTCAGTGATGAACAGTGACATGGAAGTGTGAGCCGAATGAACCCTTTCATCCCCCTGTTGCTTCGGTCATGGTATCTCATCACAGCAATAGTAACCCTAAGGAAGACACTTGGTGCTCCTGTTTCAGCCTCTCAGGCATGTACTCCCACACTGAGCTACAGTTTACTTTTAAAGATGAAGACTTTAAAATTCCTCTCTTTGAATAGTATTCAGATTTCCTCTGTTAACCTTTTGGAGGTGGATATGTATGCATGTGTGATTGAATGTATATGTATGTGCATGCACATATGTGAGTGTGGAGACCTGAAAATGGCAGTGTGTCCTCTATTGCTCTCCACTTGATTTAGTGAGATAGAGTGGATCACTGAACTCTGGTGGAGTATGGTTAGTCTAGCCAGCCAGCTTTCCCTGGGATCCCCTGCCTCTGTCTCCAGATTGTCAGGATTATGGGTTGCCCAACCCTGCCCAGGTTTTATGTGGGTGTTGGAGATGTATACTACACTCTTCATGTTTGTGTGGCAAGTGCCTTCTCTGTGGAGTGGAGGCATATCCCCATCTCACTTTATTAATCTCTTTATTCCTGTTAGCTTACATATAAACTAAGGCTCTGTTGAAAACAATTTGTGGCAAAGTTAGATACTTTTCTCTGGAGCCTAAAAGATGTGTATGTATATGATCATTTCTGGTCTCTTTTTCTTTCAAGCTTTAATTGCCACGTTATTCATAGACCTAATTTGGAAACAAGAGACTTCTTTATTGAGGGCATATGGAGCTATACTGTCAGTAACTGTAAATGGGTTGGAGAGACTTGATTCTGTCTTAATGAAGTAGCAATGCTTAACTCTTCTGTTTTATCACTTGCAGAATGATTGTCAGTTGTTCTTGTTAGATAGCCAGAGCTGGAAGAAGTGTCTACTTCAGGGCATATTCTTAGAACAGAGGGGTGCTGAGAGGTAAAGAGCACAGTATAGGTGCTTTATCGAGTGAGAAGGAATCGTTGGCTCATCCCGAGTGTCTGTAGGTTTGCAGGTGTTGCCTATAGGTGTGGGCAATGCTTTGGAACCTTTTGTGATTTTGCACATTTTGCTCATAGCTGTCTTTCATTTGTTGAGCTTGCTCTAGGATCCCAGGAAAAGGTCCTTATTAATCAGCTTTAAAGAGTACCTTATTAGCCTGAGGTGGCAGGGTGGGAGGGGTGTCACAGGCCTTTAATCCCAGCACTGGGGAGTCAGAGGCAGGCAGATCTGAGTTCGAGGCCAGCCTGGTCTACGGAGCAAGTTCCAGGACAGCCAGGGCTGTTTCACAGAGAAACCCTGTCTCAAAACAAAACAAACAACCAAAAACAAAACAGACAAACAAACAAAAAACCATAAAACCAAAGATCTACTGCCAATGACTGCTTTTTCAGGTTTCTTCTTGCCTGGAGAGCATAACTAATGGACTTGACCTAGTCAAGAAGCTGCCTTGAATATGCACCAGCTAAGACATTCAACTGTATTTGTTTGTGTGTGTACAGGTGTCTATGCATGTCTGTGTGTACAGGTGTCTGTGCATTTGTGTGTGGTATGAATGTGTGTGTGCATGTGTGTTTGTGGACATGAAATGTAGAGGCTAGGAGCTGATGTCAGCCCCTTTGCGCTTTTGTTTTATTTGAGGCAGCATCTCTTGCTGAACCCAGCACTCATCTGCTGCCTAGATTGGCTGGCCAGGAAGCTCCACCCACTCTCACACCTCATGGGTGCCCAGCATCTTAATCCAGGTTCTCCTTCTTGCACAGCAGACATTTCTCCTAAGCC